CTCCTCCTTCTCCTCCATCCTCCTCCTCCTCCTCCTCCCCTCCCCTCCTCCTCTCCACCTCCTCCTCCTCCTCCTCCTCCTCCATCCTCCCCATCCCCTCCCTCCTCCTCCTCCTCCTCCTCCTCCTCCTCCTCCTCCTCCTCCTCCTCCCCCTCCTCCTCCTCCCCTCCTCCTCCTCCTCCTCCTCCTCCTCCTCCTCCTCCTCCTCCCCTCCTCCTCCTCCTCCTCCTCCTCCTTCCCTCCGACTCTCCGATCCTCCTCACTTCTCCTCCTCCTCCTCCTCACTCCTCCTCCGCCTCTTCCTCCTCCCCTCCTCCTCCTCCTCCTCCTCCTCCTCCTCCTCCTCCCTCTCCTCAGTCGCCGCCTCTCCACACTGACTCGGGCCGCCCAGCCAGCCACTGGCGGCGTCGGCCGCGCCTCCGCCGCGCCTCCGCGGGTGGCGCTCTAGCGAGCCGCAGGCCGCGCGTGCCCGTGTGGGCCGGGCGCCGACGGCAGCCGCGGGGGGCGCCCGCTGCGTCGACCCAGTCGCGAAGGCCGTGGCGGGCACGGCGAAGCGCGGCGCGGGGCGCCGCCGTCCACGGCCGTGCGGGCCGCCGCTTCAGGCCCGTGCGGAGACCATCACGGCACGGCCCCGCGCGGACAACCGGTCGCTGTAGCCAGAACTGTGACGGCGCGGTGGGGGAGGAGAGTGAGGGATGATGATGATGCTGATGATGATGCTGATGATGAGGATGATGATGATGATGATGATGATGATGATGATGATGATGATGATGATGCTGATGATGATGATGATGATGATGATGATGATGATGATGATGGCTGATGATGAGATGATGAGTGATGATGATGGAGGAGGATGAGGAGGAGGAGGAGGGAGGATGAGGATGAGGATGAGGATGAGGATGTGATGAGGATGAGGATGAGGATGATGAGGATGAGGATGATGATGCTGATGATGATGATGCTGCTGCTGATGCTGATGCTGATGATGATGATGATGATGATGATGATGATGATGATGATGATGATTGAGCTGAGGAGGAGGGAGGAGGAGGAGGAGGAGGAGGAGGAGTGAGGATGAGGAGGAGGAGGAGGAGGAAGAGGAGGAGGAGGAGGAGAGTGGGAGGAGGAGGAGGAGGAGTGGGGAGGAGGAGGAGGATGGAGAGTGGAGGAGGAGAGTGGCGGAGGAGAGTGGAGGAGGAGAGTGGAGGAGGAGAGTGGAGGAGGAGGAGGAGGAGAAGGAGGAGGAGGATAAGGAGGGTGGAGGAGGAGAGGAGGATAGTATACCTAGGGTTGAGGAGGAGGACGAGGAGGATGAGGAGGTGGTGCTGAGGCACTGGCAGATGTGTAAAGATGCGCCCAGACCTGCCCCTGCTCTTCCCCCGCTGGTTTTTGGCTACCCGAGATATGCAGGAGCTCATTAGCCCGTGGCTTGCGTTTCTGGTGGTGATCTACCGGCTGATCATGGAGATCGCTATCCTCAAGGTCGGCGGGTGTTGATGCCTGCATCCCCTTCACGTCTCGCCCTGCACTTAGCTTGCCAACCAATGCTCTTGCAGGCGAAACCTCTCTTCCAGCGCCTCTACCCCACGGTAGGTTCGCGTCGTGTCGAACAGCGGCGACCACAGCGCGGGCGTTGACCAGAATCGGCTATTACTTGAACGATCCCGCGTTTTGGAGACGGCCGATCGTTCAGGTTTGAAAGATCGTCGCGGTGTCAGAGACCAACGCCGAGGTCGGCACGACGCGACCCTGCCGCACTCACGGTACGGTACGCGTTCCTCCTCTCCCACCCCGAAGGTTGTCACGGGCGTCTTCCTGCACGAGACGTTCCGTGTCGCCAAGTCCGACAGCGAGTTGATGATCCGGGGGAAGATGCGTGAGGACAAGCTCTTCAAAAACAAGATGGCGTCCCTGTTCACAGAGATAGACACGGACGGCAACGGCAAGCTCTCCAAGGACGAGTTCGACAACACCTTCAAGCACCCGCGCGCGTCGCTGTACCTCGGCGCCCTCGGGCTGAACTACAAGGACACGGAGGAGCTGTGGCGCCTGGTGGTGCAGGAGGTGGGGCGGAGCCCAGAGGACAGCGAGGTCTCCACGAGCGACCTCGAGCGGGTGATCGGCAAGATCCGCGGGGAGGGCCGCAGCATCGACGTCGTCATGATCCTCCAGCAGGTCCACCACCTGCTGGCCACGCTCGCGGACAGCGGGGTCATCCGCCCGCTCTCCGACTGCTCCTCGCCGTGGATCCCGACGGCCCTCCCCGTCCACCCCTCGTCCGGCGACTCGCTCGACGACTGCTCCCCGCACCTCCAGGACCGGGGGCCCAAACAATATACACCACCACCACGTCGGTTCCTGCTCTCTCTCTCTCTCGCTCTCGCTCTCTCTCCTCCAGCGGGAGGGAGGGGGGGAGGCAGGGGGTGGTGGTGCATATCCTTGGGCCCCCTGGCAGGACGGCCGCTCCGCCTGGGGGGAGGCGCCGTCCATCTGACCCTGGGGCGAGGAGCCCCTGCGCCCCGCGCGGCGCGAGGCACGGAGCGAGGAGAGGCTCCCGCCGCACGGGGCCAGGACGAGGGGGCATATCCGCTCGAAGAGCGTCCCCAAGACGCCCTCGAGGAGCGCCCTGGAGCGCTCCGGGGAGGCCGCGGCGCCCGAGGCACCACCCTCCAGGGCCGCGGGGCCTCGGGCGTGCTCGGTCTGCCCTCCCCCGGATCGCCGCCCTCGTCCTGGCCTCGCCCCGCCGGGCACCTTTGCGCGGGCTCCTGCGTCAGCGGCGCTCCGCCCGCCCGGCTCGGCCGGGAGTCGCCGAGGACGGACGGACCCCTGACCTCAAGTCGGGCCTGTCCCTCCACAGGGGGAACATTCAAGCACAGTTTAAAAAAAAATAGTCTGGGGGCGATTGTTTGACAACTGTTGAGCATTCTTGGAATATCCGTAAGGGCTTCGCCTCCTGCCGCCGGCCCCCTCCTCTCTCGGATAATGGGCAATGCGAGAGCGAGATCATGAGGCCTTGGCGACGCCGTGAACGAAGACGATGAGTCATCGGCAAGACAAATTGAGATTCTGATGATATTGTTGAATTCGGTGTTGCATTTCGAGCTTGCTCGCGCATGCTGTGCAACAGGATTTTTCTGCGAAGTGTTGAAATGATGCAAATCCCATGTGCTTTTCGACCCTGACCCCGCCGATCTGCATGAGGAGTGCCACCGAATTTCAGAAATGTGGCAAATCCCGTCGGTTTTTGGAATCTGACCCCACCGATCTGCATGAGGAGTGCCACCCAATTTCAGACATGTAGCAAATCCCATTTTTTGTGTGACCCTGACCCCGCCGATCTGCACGAGGAGTGCCACCGAATTTCAGAAATGTGGCAAATCCCGTGTGTTTTTGGATCCTGACCCCGCCGATCTGCGTGACGGAGGCCACCGAGTTTCAAGACATGTGGCAAATCCCGTGTGTTTTTGGACCCTGACCCCGCCGATCTGCGTGACGGAGGCCACCGAGTTTCAAGACATGTGGCAAATCCCATGTGTTTTTCGACCCTGACCCCGGCGATCTGCGTGAGGGGTGCCGCCGAATTTCAAGACATGTGGCAGATTCCATTGGTTTTTCGACCATGGCCCCGCCGATCTGCGTAAGGGGCGCCGCCAAATTTTAGAAGTATGGCAAATCCCATTGGCTTTTCGGCCCTGACGCTGGCGATCTGCGTGAGGGGTGCCACCGAATTTTAAGACATCAAATCCCATGCGTTTTTCGACCCTTACCCCAGCGTTCTGCGTGAGGGGTGCCATCGTATTTTTTAGACATGTGGCAAATCCCGCAGGTTTTTGGACTCTGACCCCAGCGATCTGCGTGAGGGGTGCCACCGAAAATTCGCCGGCCCAACGGGCCAGAGGCGTGCTAAGATCTCCGGTGACTGCTTTACAATCTTTCTACTTCGCGCGCGCGGGGCGGCCCCTGGGGGCCCCCGGGCGGAAAGTACCCCGGCAAGGTCCCGAGAGAGTCCCGGGAGGAGTCACCAGGGCGCTCCAGCAGCGCACCAACGCGGCTCCGAGACGTCCCCGAGAGCCCCAAGAAGGGCCAAGAGGCTTCCAAGAGGCCCCCAAGATGCTACATGAGGGGTCCGAGATGCCACAAGATCGCTCCAAGACGCCCACGATGGCCCCCAGACGCCCCAAGAGGCCTCCAAGAGCACTCCCGAGAGGGCCCCAAGAGGCAAAATTCACTGCTTTTCCTTAGGTTTTGGAGAGATTTTGGCGTTTCCACCTTTTCGGCTTCACGACACCCCAAGACGGCCCAAGAGGCCCCCAAGACCGCCCCAAGAGGGCCCAAGAGGCCCCCAAGAGGGCCCCAAGACGGCCCAAGAGGGCTCCAAGACGGCCCAAGAGGCCTCCAAGACGGCCCAAGAGGGCCCCAAGAACGCCCCAAGAGGGACCCCAGGGGGGGAACACGAAACAATATTTCGAGCCCTCGGCCCTCAGAAGTCCCCAGGAGGCCCCAAGAGGCCCCTAAGAGGCCCCAAGAGGCCCCCAACAGGCCCTCAGGAGGCCCCCAAGAGGCCCCCAAGCGGCCCCAGGAGGCCACCCAAATGCCCCCCCGAGCACGCAAGCAAGTGCCAGCGACGCTACACTATGGGCCAGCGGAATGAGCGAAGCGATTCAATAAGAAATGTTGCAAATCCCATGAGGTTTTTGGACTCTGATCCCGGCGATCTGCGTGAGGGGTGCCGCCGAATTTCATAAATGTGGTAAGTCCCGTCGGTTTTTGGAATCTGACCCCACCGATCTGCGGGAGGGGTGCAGCCGAATTTCAGAAATGTGGCACATCCCATGTGTTTTTGGACCCTGACCTTGCCGATTTGCGTGAGGGGTGTGAATTTTGACTCGCGCAGAAATTCTCAGAACACTCCTAGGAGGTGCTAACCAGGGTGCTTTTCGGATCCCCCCCTCGCGCGGTCTACAACAAGGTGCAGTAAGCAGCATAAAGCAGAACTATAACAGTGGAACGTGGGAACGGGAACTGGTGCAGGGAGCAGCAAAACCCTGGTCCTACAGGCTGGTGGCCCCACAAGGGGGCCGGCAGATTTTTTGTATTTCTTGTTTTTCCTCCAGAATCCGCCTGTAGGGGGACAGGCCCGACCGAACCCTAATGACTGAGTGAAGACGTGGCCTCGCTTAGGTCCTTGTATTTGCACCAGGGATGACAACTCTGGACGTCGTGGTCTGCTGCATCTGCAGCAGAGACCCCCCATCTCTCGTGTTTTCGGCCCTCCCGACTTCGGTCCCGTCCCCGAGGGCTAGGGGTCCTTTTTTGGTTCGTCAGAAGCGGGCGCCTCACGCGAGCTCTGCCCAGCGTGTAGTCGGGCACGTCCCTCTACGGGAGGAATATCCAACATGGTTTTAAGCAATAGTTTGGGGAACGATTTTCTTTGTCTTTTTGAATTTCTGGCGTTTTTTTTAGTATTGGCAGTCTTTCCCGCCCCAGAATCTGGCTGTACAGTCGGGGCGCTGAAGAAGGAACTCTTTTCGTTGGGGAGGGGCTTGGTGTTCCCTGCTTGTTCTACAGTTTGCCGAAGGCCTTCCCCAGGCTTTCGATGGGAAGCCGACGTTTAGCTTCTGGACACAGGGGGGCCTCGTTCCTTCCCCGCGGTTCCCTGGGTCAGCGCCCCGCCCGACCTGACCCCAGCAGCGCGTGCGCCCCCTCGAGCTTGATGGCTCGGTATCTTCGGAATGTCTGACATTTTTTTGAATCTTGACTATCTGCTGAGTTTTTTGTGTTCGCCCAAAATCTCACCACCCACCAAGCCACCCCAACCCAACCCGAAGGCCTCAGTTTGCCGTCCATTTCCAGGGGGGGGGGGGGTCCGGGAACATCGAAACATGATCGACCCACGAACCCGGAAAGGAATGTAGAACTGTAACACATGGCAGCGTTTTCAAAGACACCTGATTGGGTGACGGGCAAATGCAATACTGAAGGTATCGATCTTGATGTACCCTGCCGAGGGCTGTGCTGTGCTGCGCCGTGCTGAATTGCGATGTGCCATGGCGCGACTGTGCTCTATAGCCTCGTGGATCGAGTCCTCCTTTGCATCCGAGTCCTGACCGAACTGATCTGGATCTTAAGCTCGAGCTGCCTGAACACATAGTAGCTGCCCCAGAGCTAATGGACAGGGGAACATGCCAGGAGGACGCGCCGCGAAACGTCCCAAGGGATGCGCCAGGCGACGTGCCAGGGGACGTGCCATGGGGTCGCACCGCGGGACGTGCCAAGGGGACGCGCTACGGAACGTGCCAATGGATGTGCCACGGGATGTGCCAGGGGACGCGCCACGCGACGTGCCAGGGGGACTCGCCAAAGGACGCCCCACGGAACGTGCCAAGGAACGTGCCAAGTTGCAATGCTGAGTGCATCGACCTTGATGTACCGTGCCGAAATCAGTGCTGTGCTGCGCCGTGCTGAATTGCGATGTGCCATGGCGCGATTGTGCTCTATAGCCTCGTGGATCGAGTCCTCCTTTGCATCCGAGTCCTGACCGAACTGATCTGGATCTTAAGCTCGAGCTGCCTGAACACATAGTAGCTGCCCCAGAGCTAATGGACAGGGGAACATGCCAGGAGGACGCGACGCAGAACGTCTCAAGGGACGCGCCAAGCGACGTGCCAAGGGACGTGCCATGGGGACGCATCGCGGGACGTGCCAAGGGGACGCGCTACGGAACGTGCTGGGGACAAGCGTTTCGCTCGAGACATCCTGTCAAAATCATCTGAATTCCTACGCGCGGGACGCTGCACGCGCGAGACATCCTCGGAATTCCTGCGAGCGGGACGTGAAAACAAGCATTTCGCCTGAGACATCCTTTGAATTCTGGCCCCCCACGAGGCCACCGCTCGAGACATCCTCCAATTTTGCAAAACCAGCGTTTCGCTCGAGACATCCTCAACAAATTATGAAAAAAACGTGAAAACACGTGGGTCCCTTTCGCCCAAGTGTGGAACAATCGTGAAAACACGTGGGCCCCTTTCGCCCCTGAGCGGAACAAGCGTGAAAACACGTGGGTCCTTTTCGCCCCTGAGCGGAACAAGCGTGAAAACACGAGGGTCCCTTTCGCCCCAGAGCGGATCAACCGTGAAAACATATGGGTCCCTTTCGCCCCAGAGCGGATCAAGCGTGAAAACACTTGGGTCCCTTTCGCCCCTGAGCGGAACAAGCGTGAAAACACGTGGGTCCCTTTTCGCCCCTGAGCGGAACAAGCGTGAAAACACGTGGGCCCCTTTCGCCCCTGACCGGAATAAGCGTGAAAACACGTGGGTCCCTTTCGCCCCTGAGCGGAACAAGCGTGAAAACACGTGGGTCCCTTTCGTCCCTGAACGGAACAAGCGTGAAAACACGTGGGTCCCTTTCGCCCCTGAGCGGAACAAGTGTGAAAACACGTGGGTCCCTTTCGCCCCTTTCGCCTCCTGGGCCTTCCTAAGGCCTCCTCGGGCCTCG